TTTTGCAATGCAACAAATTCAGTTGGCGCACGTACGCGTTGCACTAAGGAACGCGGCACAGTGGACAAAAGCGACGGCAGGGCACAGGGGACAGTGTATACGGGGGGCGAGGCACTGTGAAGACACCGGCATATTTCTTTCTTTGATATAAACCGACGAATTTGCAATTAATTGAGCACTAAATGCAAAGCTTTGCTTGCTGTGTTCTTCGATTGGCTTTTTGTGATTTGCCGCCGTTGACCTCGTGACGTCAGCGTCGCAGTCGCAGTCGCAGTCGTCGTTGGCGTCGCTGCTTGCGGGTGGCTGCAGCAAATGAGCGCGCGAGCCATAAATTAATTATGTTTGTATTACAACTGTGTTTACTTACGTATCAATGAGTGTGTGTTTGTGTGTGTGTGTGTGTGTAAAAAACAAATAAAATGAGCTAAAGGAAGAGGAAGAAAGAGAGAGTGCAGCATGTTGCCCAAATAAATTACGCATACGTAAACAGTAAAACAACAACAACAACAACAACAACTGCAGCACCAAAATTGTAGGCAAATGAAGAGCCAACAAACAGCAGCAAAACAAATGCTTGAAAGCAGCATTAAAATTCGATGCTAATTAGCAACAACAACAATAGCAGCAACAACAACAACAACAAAACAATAACAAAAATCAAAGTGGGAAAAACAAAAAAAAAAAAAAAAAGGCAAGGACAAAGAGCAAATAAAATCAATAGGCCATTTGGACTCATGGCAAGCCCCAGCAAAGTTTAAAGCAATTTTCAAGAATTTTAATAGATTGTGATATATTGCGCGTAACTGTAAATTGAACGAAATTTGTATGAATTTGTGAAATATTGCGTGGAACTTAAATTGAATTTAAAAAAAATATACACATAGTTTAACTGCCTTTGGAATTGGAGTGGAAATTCGAAAATAATAGGAGCTTTGAGCACATTGTATAAAAAATGGATTTTGGGATTAAATAGGCTAAGTGAATGGATATGCAGAGGTATATAAGTTGATAGGTAGATGGATAGATAGATAGGTACGGACGATATATAGAAAATGGATGACAGATGGGTAGTCTATCGGACAAATATATAGAAAAATGTTGTTGGATATAAAGAGAAATAGGCAGACGCATCCTTGCCCACAAAAGATTGTACAGAGGGAAAGATATATAGATACGTTACTATGTTGCTAGACATTTGGCTAAGTAGAGATCAGATAGCTGTAGATCTTACAAGATCTATTTTTCAAATTGAAATATAGAAGTCACAGATGATTTTTGTTCAGTGTAAAAATACTATGCATTGAGCTTGTATAAATACAAATACTATACATTTATTGAATTTGTTGAGCGAATAAAAAAATCGCGTTTTCCCCGACGAAATTCAGTCATCATTATTTGCAGCTAAATGTAGAAAAGTTGCTGCTAAAATTTTAAGTGTTAAATCACAGTCTATTCAATTAAATGAGAAATGCACTACTTGATATATAATAATTTTTGGAAAAATGCCTATTTAATGTAAACAGAGGCATAAAGTTAGACATAAATCTATTACAAAAAAAAAAAAAATGAAATGTAATAAAAAAAAAAAAATAATAATAATAATAATAATAGTAAATAAATGATATATATATAAAAAATATTAAAAAAAAAAAAATTAAAAAAAAACACTAAAGAAAATGTTTAAGAAATAAAATATAAAATTGAAATAATTCAAGAAAAATGGTTAAGACATATTAATTACTATTTTTTTTTTTTTTTTTATAGAATATATATTCAAATAAAAATACTCAGTATATGCTAGAAAAAAAAAAAAAAAAAAAAACAACATATATTTTCAAATCAAAACAAAACAGAAATATATCAAAATTATGTTTTCTCTTTGATTTCAAAGAATTCCCTCGATTCTGAGATATCTAAAAAATTACCCAATCAAGCTCCAACAATGGAAACTTCAGTTCAATACAGAGTTGTGTCTTTATCAGTTGAAATACTGAAAGATAACTGAACAAAAATATTTATTGAGAAAATGAAATGCATATCTAGTGCAATAAGTGCTAATTGTTGTTGTTGTTGTTGTTGTCGTCGTTATCGATGTTGCGTAAATATAGAAAACTTTTCTATACTCTAACCGAGTTGGACACTTAAGTTAAGCATGCGATATTTAATAGGCCATGGGAAATGATAATATGATAATGTGCTGGGCACAAAAAACACACAAAAACTTAACGCAACGGAAGCGAAAATAAATAAGTGAGAGGGAGAGAGAGAGGTAGCAGAAAAGAGAAAGAGTAAGAGCGAGACAGCTAGCTTGTCTTGCTGTAAGGTGTTGTTTGAGTTTTTATGTCTGCCTAGCAGAGAGGAAATTGCCGTTTTAATAGTTTTTTAATTAGGTAGCAAATGTTAAGTGTGCACCACTGTGTTCTGCTTCTGCCTATAATTGTTGTTGTTGTTGTTCTGAACACTGTATGAGAGAGCGAGCGAGACCGACTGCTTGTTGCATAATCTGATGTGCTAGACACCCGCCCCAACTGCTGGGCCCTCGGGCACAGTTCATTTGCATCACGTGCACATTTCACACATCTCTGTCTGTCCCCACCCCGCCTCCCATCCGTCCGTCTGTCGTCTGGCACCTGACAGGCTCTGGGAAAAGCATCACAGATCTATTTGCGCCCACCAAGATGAGTAAGCAGTAGCAGCAGCAGTAGCAGCAGCAGCAGCAGAGCTAGCCGAAGTCAAGAAATTAAAATCCATTAAGTACTTTTTATAAATAAATCAACGACTACTAACCGCATGGCCCAGTGGAAGATACATAGCTCTATATATATATAAGCATATACCCACACACTCTCTACATACAGTCGGCACACTTTGTCAGTCGGAAAAAAGTGCTTCAATTTCGACTCTTAAAAATTATTCAAGTGTACAGCAGAAAAACAGGGAACACAGAACAGGGAACAGACACCAAAAGGAAAGAAAAGAAGCTAAAAACGAATCGAATGAAATTACGCACGAAAAAATATCTTGAAAATGCCATAAGTTAGACACTCACACACACACGCTCAGCTGCAGTCTCTATGTGTGTGTGTGTGGAACTCAAGCGATTTGTTTGGGCATATTGGTTGAGGTGTTCTATAGGCGGCGCAGCATTTTGTCTGAATCAAATTGATTTGAGAAATAAACATTTTTCGTGTTTTCCACAAAACACACAAAAATAAAATTTCTGAATGACTTAAAATAGAAATAATTGAATCGAGATAAGAAAGATAATAAATAACATTTCAAGTTTAAAGAAAAAAAAAAAAAAATTCACTTTGATAAATTTCAAGAAAATCTGAAAATATTGAGATAAATTTGGCTCATAATTTATAAAAACTAAACCCATTAAATAAAGGCAAGAAAATTTTCATTTTAAATTAATATGTTTGTGTGAGCATTCAGAGTATTTTTTAATGTTAGCTTATAAAGAATGAAAATTGAATTGTTTTAAATGAATAATGAATATATTATTTTGTTTGATTTCATAATTTAAAAATTTTATTTTGATCTGAAACTCATTCAATTTGAACAAAAAAAGTATGAATTTTTTATTTTTTTTTTTACATAATTCATAATAAATAAATTTCGATATTTAATATTAATATTAATTATTAATTATTTTAAAATTAAATTTGATATATGTACTGCATTTTAATAGCAAATAGTGATAAATCAGAAACAATAATATTTTCTGCTGCAAGTAGAAATGCACTGAATATTAAAGATTTTCTATATACATATGCTTTCATTTTAATTATGATTTATTTGATATTCATTTGATATACATATATACAATATATATATTATGTGAAATTCATACCCTTTGATATTTAACATTTGTAGCAATAATATTTTGAGCTGTTATAAAATTTGCAATCAAAATATTTGGCCTGCCTTTGAAACTCTTGTGTTCTGTTTATTTGAAAAGTTCAAACATCTCAAAGTTGAGTTCTTTTATTTTTCTGGCATTCAGAGCGAAAATGAAAACATGAAAATTGCAGAGATTTCAACGTAGCCAAAAATATAATTAAATATGACATTATTTTGCAGCACGAAAAACGAAGGCGCAAAAGCATTTTCTAAACAACTCAGTTTCGATTTTGTTTATAACCGCGGCCAATCTGTGGTGATCTATATATATACATATCTGTATATATATATTTTCATATTTTTTCTTTCTTTTTGAAATTTATGCAACATTTGTTGTTTAAGTTTTCGCGTGCGCCTCGAGTCCTGAGAACTTGACGTGACTTGGACTTGATTTTGAGCTGTTTTGTATAGGTTTGGTGTTTGTTGAGTTGCCACTCATGGCTACACTGCGCACACAGCACTTGCTGCCTATTTGCTTAGCACTCGACACATGACTCCTTCAGCTGACACGCCCCAGCCACCCCACACACACACACACAGTACTCCCACTACTTGAGAGTCGAATGCTGCGAACGCTCTCCAACGATTCCACCAGACCTCAGCGCCTCATGTATTTTTAAAACGATCATCAGACGAGCCTCATTATGAATGCCCCATATTGTATTTGCCGTTGTTGTGCTTGTTGTTGTTGTTGTTCGTTTTAGTTTTTCTTCTTTTTGCTCTTGCTTTTTTCCTCTTTTTCCTCTTTTTTCCCGATGTGTTTTTCCTATTTTTTCCCCATTTACGTGCCCCGTTGCGCCACAGATTTGTGTGGCCCGCTTGGCAGCTGGGAGCAGCCAGCCCATGGCCCATTCCTTGGCTGCCAGTCGCCGTCAGCAGAAGAAACGCGCGCTCGAAAGAAAATCTATCTTGTTAGGCAAAAGTCTCTCGAAAAACGAAAAAGAAGGAAAATGAAAATGTCGGGCACGCAAATCGGGCGCGTTGAGAGCGAAAGTTGTTAACTAAAACGTAAAAATCAAAAGTTTTTCCTTTTTTTTGCGGTCAAAAATTACGTGATATATATATAGATATAGAAATAGATATATGTATATGATATATGTATTTGTATATAAAAATTTGTGCAGCGCCGGACGCGTGTCAAAATTTAGCCGGGCTGAGGTGCGTCGCAGTCGCCACTGACGCTGACGCGGACGTCGCCGCTGACGTCGCAGCTGACGTTGACGCTGCTTGAAATGCCGGCTCGCCGTCGGTTGTGCTTGTGCTTGATCGGGCGATGGCGCCGTTTGGTTGAGTTTTTTAGTTTTAGTTCAGTTTCTGCCAGCGACGAGTGACACAGAGAAATGCGAGAATAATCCCTACGACGACGACAACAGACGACAGAAAACGACAAGAAACGAGCAATTGAATAAGAGAGAACAAGAAACAACAAAAAACAAAAGCAATTTTCACACGAATAAGCAGCAATTTTTAGATTTAGCTGATTGAAGGCGGCAAACGCGGCGTATGCGTAATATGCGCACACACTGCAACACACAGGCAGGCACAACAAATTAAACACACACACACACATACTGATACCCATATACACACAAGCAGCTCACATACATATATAGTGCCTATATATATATCAAGAAGAAAGACTTTTGAGTGTGGCTTAGACGCGACGTAGACGATGCCAAATAATCGTAATCGTAATCGCAATCGTAATCGCAATAAACGAAATAAAAATCAAAATCAAAATCAAAATAAACAGCAAGCGGCAGCAGAGAACAACGAAAAAGAGGAGCAGCAGGAGAAGGCAGCAGCAGTAGTAGTAGCAGCAGCGGCAGCGGCAGCAACAACTTCATCAACATCATCATTAGCAGCAGCTGACGATCTTCAGAATGATCATAATGCAAATTCTGGCAGCATTTCAAATGGGTCACCAACGGCGAGCGACAGCGCCACAGCTGACGATGAGGCAACAACTGGCGTAGCCAGCAATGAGATCAGCCAGCGACAGCTAAAAGAGGATCAGTCAGAAGATCGGAGTGAAGTAAAAGATCAGCTGGAATATCCGTATGAAGATCAGACAGCAGAAAAGCCTGAAAGCACGTCTGTAGAGCAGCTGATTGTAGTAAAAGAGCAGCTGACAGACGAAGATTCACCTAAAGAGCAGACAGTAGAAAAGCCTGGAGACCAGGCCAAAGAAGATTTGATTAAGCTGAAAGAGGAAAAACTTGACGATCAGTCTGCAGATCTAGCGAAAGAACAGTCCAAAGAGCAGCTAACTGCAGTGGAAGATCAGCTGAGAGAGGATCAGTGTATAGATCAGTCTAAGGAACAGTTGGAAGAGGCCAAAGAGCTGCTGACTAACGCAAAAGATCAGCTGAAAGAGGAAAGGCTTGTCGATCAGTCTGCAGATCAATTGCAGAAACCACCAAAAGAACACCTGATTCAAGTGAAACGTGAGGATCAGTTGGAAGATCAGTTGGCTGGAGTGAAAGATCAGCTTGAAGAATCACTAAAAGATCAGATAGAAGTTAAGGCTGAAGAGCAGTTTGAAGATCCAAGAAAAGAGAAATCTGTAGAGAAAGTAGTAAAAGTTCAGATAAAAGAGGAGTTCCAAACTTCGACTGTAGATCAATCCAGCACGCAGCTGATCGAATCACTCAAAAATCAGTGGGATATAGAAAAGGCAAAACAGTTCGTCAAACAGTCAGGAACACAAGTCATAGATCAGCAAAAGGAACAACTGATCAAGCAAATTCCAAGTGAAGATCTGAAAAAAGAGGAAATTGTCGATCAGCCAGTAGATCAGTCAAATCAGCCAGATAATCAATCTAAGCAACATTTGTTTGTTAAGACAGAGGATCAGCTAAAGCAACAGCCAGTGGTGCGCATAGTGCCTGTGCGAATTGAGCAGGAAGCGAGCTATACGACAGCAACAGAACAGCAATCAGTTGTTGAAAGCGCAGCAATGGGCGCCAAGAATTCCAAGCAGCAACAACAGCAACAGCAGCAGCAACAACAGCAGACAGAGCAGCAACAGCAGCAACAGCAGCAGCAGGCTATCAAAGCTCCAGGTAGTCCACGACAGGCCAAGGTCATAGTGCATCGCATAGTGCGCGAAGGCGATGATGAAGTAGATGCACAGCAGCAACAGTTGCCGCAGCAACAAAAACAACAGCAGCAACATCAACCAAGTCAAGCAGAGCAAGAGCTGCCAGCAGCTGTGCAAGAGATCTTGGCCAATTGTCAGCTGCAACAGCCGCTGGCAAAGCAACAACAGCCGTCAAATGCACAACAGCAACAGTCGCCAGCACCGCAGCAACATGCAGCAAACCAGCCGCTGCAACGCAGCACCAAGGTGATCATACATCAGATACGCATCGAGACGGATGAGCAGGAACGCGCTCGCAGAGGTAAGCCAACCATTGAGGAGATCAGCAGCACCACAGCAACACCCGCACACAGCAACAGCAACTGCACCAGCAACAGCAACAACAGTGGCACATTGTCGCCGCCGCCGCGTTACCTCGTCGAATCGCCCTCGCCAAAGGCCGTGCAACAGTTCAGTAAATTCTCGCGCGACTTGCAGATTCAGGAGCTGGAGCAGAGCAGCGACTGCAGCTCCGGTGAGTTAAATGGGCCGCTGCAATCGCCGCTGGTCTTTGAGGCCGACTCCGAGACGGAGGCCACAGTGGCGCCCATCACCACGCCCAGCGTGACCAGTACAGCTCCCTCAGCTCAGTTCTCTCCCGGCCTGCCGTCCAGCAGTCGCGCCGACGCACAGGAGCAGCTGCGGCAGAAGCGCGCGAAGCGAAACGCACTCGAAATGCACTTTATGCCGCAGCTGCTCAGTCCGCGCTATTTGGACAGCATTCTGGAGGAGAACAGCGAAACGACTTCAACACCAGGTGATCTGAGTCGCAGTGGCTCCGCCACCGCCTCCAACACCGCCACGGATCAGTCAAAGTCGCGTCCAGCTGGGCCCGTCAAGGTCAACGAAACATTTCCGCGTAGCCATCTCGACTTCAGTCGTCGGCACAAGCGCCGCGAGGAGCCGGTCGCTCTCATGCTGGAAACGAAGCTGATCGAGCAGAGCGACAACCTGGAGAGCTGCACCCGGCTGCAGAGCACGCTGTCGCCACAGTCCGAGGATGCCGAATTGGTTTATCTCAGCTCGTCGAGCTCGAGCAGTGTGTCGGATCTAATGGAACTCGAACTGGAGGAGGCAGCTGCTCTCGCTGAGCGTACTCTCATCGATCTGGACACCGATGCCAGCAAGCTCATCAATCGGCCAGACAATGAGCTGAGCAGCAACACCAGCATGGAGCCCATCAGCTCATCCAACGAAACTGAAACCGAGGGCGAGTGTGAGGTTCGTAGCGCAACAGAAACTACTAACCCGAACTAACCGAAGGGGAGCAGAGACAATGATATAATGAGCAAGGTGTTCGCCTGAAGGTAGGGAAGATAGAGCATAGAGCATAGAAGATTGGAGAGTGTCAGAAAATGGATTTACTTGTTAGCGACAGCCCTAAGCTATTTTTAGCTCTCTCTGAACTGATGGAAGATGATATATGGATTATAGATTATAGACTTTGATGAGAAAGGAAAGTCATATATATAGATCCAGTATGGTAAATATAAATATAAAGAAAAGTCATATACATATATATTAAATTGAATATTGAATATAGTCGCTCATCAAAATAAAGAAAAAGTGTTCATTGTTGTTTAAGAACAGGAAAAGCCAAAGAAATATTTAATATGCTATTCATTCAGAAAAAAAGTATTTACTATTTTTTTTATGATAGTTTCAGATCAATATTTGTATGCCAAAGAGTACAAATTTTATAATATATAATTAAGTATTCATAAAAACATGAAATTCCTAAAAAAAAAAAAAAAAAAAAAAAAAAAAAACTGTAAAATAACGTTGTTCATATAAAGCACATTATTCTAATTCATAAAAGTTTATAAAATTTACAATAAATGACATCCATGACAAGAGACTTGCTCGTATTATAAATGTGAATAGACTTATTGGATATGAATTTGGACTGACTGCATTGATTGGCCAGACGCATAGCTAGAGTCGTGACATATATAATATATATACATAACGATATATATACATTAATATTCTCATATATTCTCATATAATATGTTGCTCATAGCGTATCATATCAGCTAGATAAATCTTCAAGTATTTTTTCATGCCGGTTTCGCATATAGCAGACTAAATGAAGCATTTATGATAGATATATATCGATGATAAATTGCTTTCTAAATATATATTTTTTGTGTTTTTTTCTGACAGATTTATTTATGCTAAATTCTGTAACATATGAGCTTTTCATATATATTCCGTTTTTTTCCAAACAATTATTTACTCAGTTTACTTAGAACAAAAACTTCAGACAGCAATGTGACAGCCATGCGCATTTGCTTAGAAATTACTAACTATATATCTATAGACAAATACTATAAATCATTTTGATTGAACGTCGAGCAATAGCTCAATTTTTATTTGACTTGAGTGACTAGAGAGAAATGTTTGCCACGAATCTAAAGAGCTATTTTTTTCAATAGATAAATAAAAAAAAATAAAAAATAAAAATAATAATAAAATAAAAAAATTAAATTAAAAAAATAAACAATAAGAAATTAATAGAAAAATAATAATAATAAAATAAAAATGTATGTATATATATATATATTTGAAAAAAAAAACATAAAAATACAAAAATTTAAGTAAAAATTTTAAAATATAAAAATAAATATATTTATTTAAAAATAACAATACAAAATATTGTAACAAAGATATGTTAATCTATTTCAAAGTATAATTAAAAATATAATAAAATTACATATAAAAGTCTACATAAATAAATCAATAAAAATAAAAATATTAAATCAGTAAAATATGGGAAAAATATAAAAATAATATATAAATCTAAATATTCATTTTTAGAAAATATACAATAATGTATAAAACAATATTTTAATTTTTTGTGAATATATAAAGGAATGTAGAACAGCTCACAGTTCACTTGTTTATCATGAATAAATTTATGACATTTTTGTATAGTAATTTAAAGCATAGTTAAAAGTTTTATTTTGGAGCAAATTTTAGTGTTTGCATCTGTTGTCTATCTAAGCAAAGAGTCTATCAAAAGTATATGAAACAGACTAAATCAGAGAGCAAATTTGCAAGGAGAATATAAGTGAAAGAGCAGAACTATTATACAAACTTATAGTATTTAACAGTATATAGTATATTTTTTAAAATGCCAAAAAAAATTCCATAGTTTTATAGAGAGTGTGAATGGAATAGGCTTCACATGAAATGGCTCTTAAATTGCTTTGTTTTGTTGGCTAAAAAATTCTAGAAATTTGGGTCACTGAAATACGCAATTGAACGCAAAGTGCGCCACGTTTATGGTTCAGTTTATTTATTTATTTTTTGGTTTTGTGCGTAAGAATCTAGCAGGCAATTCTAATAGCGAATCCGAATAGCGATACACAAGTACAGCAACAACAATTGCAGGTCGAAACGGAAGTGGACACGGAAACGGAGGCAACAACTGCGGCCGAGCAGTCGTCGAGTCGCGAGAGCACACCTGTTAACGCTCAATCCCCATTGCCAGAGCAGGCAACGCCAACGGTGACGGCGACAGCGACGTCGACAGCGACGCCAGCAGCGACGTCGCCCACGCACGCTGTGGCCAACGAAGGCGAGGCGAGCAAATTGGCCAACAGTTCGACTGCAACCGCTTCGCTGGCGGCCACGCGCGAGGCATTCGTACGCAATATGGACAAAGTGCGCGAATTGATCGAAATGACGCGACGCGAGCAGAGCGGAAGCGGAAACGGAAATGCGAACGGCAACGACAACGGGAACGGGAACGAGAACGTTAACGGTAACGGGAGCGTAAGTGCAGACGTTAACGGAAACGGAAACGAAATCGCGTCGCGTTTTGTTGCTGCTGCTACCGAACAGCAACAGCAACAGCAACAGCAACTGCAGCTGCAGCAGCAACAGCAGCCAAGTGAATTGCGTTGTAGGTTATCACCCACGCCGCCGCCTGTGCCACCACCACCCAGCTGCATGCACTATACCCCAACCACACAACAGCAACAACAACAGCAGCAGCTAGAGCAACAGCAATCACAATTTGATTTGCATGCCAAAGTGAATCCCTTGTTGCTCTCGCGGCAAGAGTCGAACGATTCGCACTGCTCGGACAGCACACAGCACAGCCAATGCACCGCCATTAACATGGCCTCACCACCACCCACACCACACACACTAGCCCCACAGCCACCGCCCACAGCACCCACAGCATCCACTCCACCCACTCCACCCCAGCGCCAACATTCAGCCATTTCCACAATTTCAGCTGAGCAAGCGGAAGCGGATCGCATCAAGAAATTGCGTCTGCTATGCACCGAGACCTTGGCCTCCATGCCCTATGGCGAGCAGATGCTTGAAGAGCTCGCAAGCGTGGCACAAAATATACAGCAACAGCAGCAACAGCAACCACAGCAGCAGCAACAGCAACAGCAGCAACAACAGCAATCGAACATGCCTTATCCTCTGCCTCAGCTGCCTCACATAAGCGAGCTGCAGCTGTCGCTGAATCAGGTCCAGGCTGAGCAGAAGGATGCCTGGCTGGGTGTGCCCACGCAGGCGGATCCTCAGCTGCTTGTGTGCCTGTCGCCCGCACAGCGCGCCCTGGCACAGCAGCAACAGTTGCAGCCGGCGGCCGATCAGCTGCTGGATGCGCACGAGAAATTCGTGCAGCGTCGCGGCTATCACGAGCTGAGCAGCGAACAGGTGCGCGCCATGGACGAGGCCCAACTGAATGCGGAGCAGCAGCAGATACTCAAAACGGCGGCCAAAATGCGCGAGTTGCGCAAGAGTCTAACGCCCACGCCAACATCGCCAACGCCGCAGCAGCAGCAACAGCAGCAGCAGCCGCCGCCGGTGCCTGTGAAGAGCGCTGAGACAGCGGCCAAGGCAAAGAGCCAACAGCAGCAGCAGCAGCAGCAGCAACAGCCAGATGACGCAAGCCTGCCAATGAGAGACACGGCAGCAACAGCAGCAACAACAGCAACAACGACAGCAACAGCAGCAGCGCCAGCGACATCATCATATGAAAATAAACCAAGAGCAGCAGCAGCTGATCAGTCGCTGCCTTACGCATTCGAGCAGTCGACTAAACACAGCAGCAACATCAGCAGCAGCAGCAGCCATAGCCACAGTCACAGTCACAGTCAGAGTCACAGCAGCAACAGCAACAGCAACTACATGAACGGCAGCAAATTTCCAGCCAGCATGGAGAGTGAATTGGCGCGCATGTTTCCGAGCATCGCGCAGCAGGGCGACATTTTCGCGGAGCAACGCAAGCGATTCTCCAACATTGAGTCGAGCAGCCGGCAACAGTTGCTGCCAGCGCAGAGCAAACGCTACTCGAACATTGAGACGAGCTCGTACGAGTCCCAGAAGCGTGTGGAGAACGGACAAGTGGTCTACGACAGCAGCAGGAGCAAGCGCGAGCAGCGGGAAGAGGGCGAGCCGCTGAGTGGCAATGATAAGCAGGCAGCAACAGTTGCAGCAGCAGCAACAACAGTGGATGAGGTGGATTGTGCACCGCCTCCTGTGCCGCCACCGCCGGCAGCAGCTAATATTATGTCAGCAACGAAATTAAATGGCTTGTCAAACACTTTCAACGATGACGCACAGCAGCAGCAGCAACAACAGCAACATAAAGAGAGCAGCCAGACAACAACAGCAACATCTACAGCTGGCAGCCATGCCAAGGTGAACACTGGCAGCGGCACTTATGAGGAATTTCGGCAACGTGCCAAAGCAGCGCTCGACGCAATTGCGCAGCCTTCGCCGGACAATGAAAAGCTCTTCAAGGACTTTGACGCCCTCTCCCAGCAGCTGAATGCGGAGCTGCAAACGGGACGCGAGCAGCGGCAGCAGCGCGACAAATCTGCCTCGCTCTACGATCTCAGTCGGTTAACCAACAGCAGCAGCAGCAATGGCAACGGCAGCAACAGTTGCCAGCAGGAGCAGCTGAAGCGTCAGCGACATGCGCACATGCAGGAGCTGGAGCGCGAGATTGAGCGCTCGGCCAGGTCGCGGCAGGAGCGTCTGTCCTCGGTGCCGCGCACTGTGGATATACCCGTTGAGCTGGCGCCGGACTACCGAAGCCGTCGCTCCGAGTCGCTGTGCAATCTCAGCGAGAACGGCGGGCAGCGGCCGCACACGTCCGCGGAGCACTATCCGCGCCAGCAGCAGGACGACTGGGCGCGCTATGCCAACGACCTGGGCTACTCGGAGAATATTGCGCGTCCGTTCGCGCGCGAGGTGGAGATCTGCTATCAGCGGCAGCGACAGCCGCACAGCGCGATACGCGCTCCACGGCTCTCGGCCAGCACGAACGATCTGTCCAGCAGCAGCAGCTACGATGGCTTCAATGCGTACGGAGGCGGCAGGAGGCATGCACCCATGCTGCAGCAGGCGCCGCAGCAGCAGCGACCGCACTACGCCAGCTGCTACTCGATGATTGAGCGCAATCCCAATCCCACGTACATCAGCACCACCTCCAGGCGTGGCGTCTCGCCCGCGCCACAGACGCCGCACTCGGGCCAGCCTCCTGCCTACGACCGGCAGCAGCGACGCGCCTCGCTACCGCGCGAGCTGCACGAACAGCAGCTCAAGTATATACTGAGCAAGGAGGAGGAGCTGAAGCTGGAGTTTGAGCGGCTGCAGCAGGAGCGTCGCCGGCTCATGGAGGAGATGGAGCGGGCGCCGACTGTGCTGCAGGCGCCGCCGCCGCGACGCGAGAGCTACCGGCCGGCGCCGAAGCTGCCGACGCTGAGCGAGGACGAGGTGTTCCGCCAGCAGATGGCTGAGGAGTGGATGCACAAGGTGGCGGAGCGCGAGGAGCGGCGCCAGCACAAGATCATCAAGATCTCGAAGATCGAGGATGAGCAGCAGCACGCCACCGAGGAGCAGGCGAACATTAGCGACGAGTTCCTCAATCGGGTCAAGGAACGGCGCCACAAGCTGGCCATGCCCGCGGACAGTGACTGGGAGAGCGGCGCCGAGTCGCAGCCGGTGCAGGGCAAGGCGGAGTCCGACGTGGATGGGGAGCCGGTGCCGCCAGTGCGTGTGCTCGAGGGCCAGGCGGAGGCGAATCTGCGCGAGCTGCCGCGCCACTTGCGCGAATTCGCCAAGTTCAGCAGCTGCGAGCAGCTGGAGGGAGGCCAAGTGGAGCGGCACGAGCAGCAGGAGAGGAACGAGAGCGCCACGGACAATGCACAGTGCAGCGCCACCAAGAAGTCGACCATTGTGAAGACGTACAAGGTGTCCCGGCTGCCGCCGTCTGTCCAGGGTGAGTTAGCCAAGGACCAGCAGCCGATAGCCGCGCCCTTGGCTGCCAATCGTTATCGTTATCGCTCGAATACCGCGAAACTTGTTAGTCATAATCTGCAATTTGGCAACGCTTCTGTAACTAGCTCCTGCCGCTCCCAAACGCCTGACACTGGTTGTGGTTCCGCTTCCAAAGGTTCCTGTTCCTCAGTACCCTCCTCCCCCACCTCCTCCACTCACTCCACTTTTAATTCCCCCATAGCCCAGGCCACACTCATTCCCAGTCCCAGTAGCCCAGCACCCACTAGCACCCAGTCCACCGATAGCAACAATAATACATCCAACTCATCCTCCGGCTCAACAGCTGGCAGCATTTTCAGTGCAGCTCTGCTGATCGGGCTGTCCGTGCTGACGGCCTGGAACAAGTTCGGCTAAAAACCAAAGACACTCGGAGAAATTCATATGTGTGTGTGTGTGTGAATTCTAGGTCTACCGTAGTTGGAATTTAGGCTGAGAAAAACTATAATTTGTCGTATTCTGATTTATAATTTCTCTAAAAAACATATCCAGGTTTGAAACTTGGAACTATTAGTTCCGTTTCATAAAAAAAATCAATTTAAATACATATCAATATTTATACGAATTTATTAGTATACATTATTCAACAAGATTTCAATTATTACGTACTTGATTTTTATTTTGAAGTATCTTGAATTCATATATTTGGTTCATATCCCATTTCATAACATGTTCATAGAAGTTCCTTAGCGAATTCTGAAAAAAAAAATAAAATAATATTAATTAATTAATATTATATTTTATTATCCAATATATTTGTATACATTTTTTCTATTTCTATAAAAAATATAGAAAAAATTATATAAATAATAAAATGTTATTTAAATATTTAAAAATGTTTTAGACATTTAATATGTATATAATTTATTTATTTATTTAATATAATTTATTTATTTATTTTACATTAATTTTTGTAAATATATTTGTTTTTATTTGTGAATCTTTAAAAGATAAATCTATTTTTGTATACAATTGAAATGATGAATACGATAATTTATAAAAAAAAAAAAAAAATAATAGACAATTCCAACTAAAGAAATTTCGCCCCAAGACTCTAGTAACTTGCGCATATAATTTTCTCTGAGTGTACTTGAAATGCAAACTCATTGGTGAATGGTCATTTGGCACATCTTCTCACATCTCTCACGAAACATATTGTAAATATGTGTTTATTGTTGTTGTAGACACAGAATCTCTCTTTCTCTCCCACTCTCACTCTCTCACAAACTGTATCTGTGTCCCTCTCTATCTGTGTGTGTGTGTGTGTTGCTCTATTGTATATCAAATTTCTCTCTATATCGCCGCCCTCACACAGACAATGATAAAACAGCAACCAACAACAAGAACAACAGCAACAACAATGAAAACACCAGCAACAACAGCAACAGCTACAACAACCAGAACAACAACAACAACAACATTACATCAGAAACAACGTCAACTATGCATAGCCATATAGTCAATGAATCCCGATCCGAATCGAACTTCAATCGAACAGGAACGCCCATGCCCTCGTCTGCGCCATTTTTGGGCAATTTTCATAGAAATTTCGATGAGCTCTTTGCCAGTTCGCCCTTCCGCTCGAAAATCTTCGAGGAGTTTGATAAATATTGGCGCAATTTCGAGCATAGAACCACGTCCGACAGTTTCTGAATATGCCTACATATATAGGAAAATACTCTTGATACGCACGCCCAGAAACCTTTGTTAATGGAACCGCAAAAAAAAAAAAACGCTTTAAAAACAAAAACAAAAAAACAATAATAAAGATATATTTAAACAAAATCCTTTCCCTTAGCCTCACCTCTACAGCATGCAGCCTACATATAACTAAATGAATACAATTCAAAATTTATGTATATGTTTGTCCTAGGCAACTGTTAAATAAAAATAAACAAAAAGATATAAAAACGTTTTGTGAAAATTAGTTAACTGTTTTTATTTTTTCTTTCGAAATTAATACAAAATAAATCCAATTTATATAGTGTTGTTGAATGTTTAATAAATGATCAATTGATTAACAAAACTCAATTGCTATTTAGTGTTTATTATTTTGTATGCATGATCCATATAAATATTTATCTATTTATCAATATATATATACATACATGATTTAGCTTTAAGCTCTGTCATCGAGAGATTTGTTTTGTGCTAAGCGCTTGTAAATGATGCTTGACCAACTGACTAATACTGTGAATGTCCCAAATATACATATTTATAAACATATATCGAATGTAACTAATAAACCAAAATTTCACTCATAATTCATAATTTAAGCAAGCTCATAATTTAGCAATATTTATAAAATATATTCATTCAATAGAATGGACCATAATTGATGATCAATTAATTAGCTTATAAAATTATTAGTAATTTAGTGGCATTCATTTTAATATTTCTGCGCTCATTGTGATCTAAATAATTCATATTATAGGACTCATCAGATAAGAATAATTGCTCAATTGAATCAATATTTTAAAAGAGCTTTATTATGCATTTTGATTTCTGATTTAATAATAACTGATTGGTTGAAGCTTTATATTCATGAACTCCTAAAGCTCATTAAGGCATTAGCTTATTTAATTATATCAAAGATAAAAAGCTTTTGAAGTGCATTAAAGCATTTTTCCCACTCAATCATACCATGATTGCTTAAAAAAATCTATAAAGATTCTCTGCTTTTATTATGTGTAAAGTAAAGTAAAAATCTCTTTAATATTGTATGCTTATATTTGTTTTGAAGAATATATATGTACATAATAAATAATCAACAAGAGCTTTAAGCTCTTTCTTATACTGTTTCTAATGAACTAAAGCTGCTGAAAGCTTCGAGCATTTCAGTACGTTCTCCAGAGCAATTTTAATCAATGGGAAAAATAGTTTTCTAATCTGTCAAATGTTCTCACTTAAATATATTTATTCTCTTTTCACTCTCTTCCATTATATCTGTTCCTATGGCTCTGCAAATTTATTACGCCTGCCCACATTTAGCTAGAATAATAATTCTTATTGACATAAATTTATGACATTCAGATGCAAAGAATTCCACAAAATATTTTCCAACTAAAATTCACGCTAGAATATTTAAAATAAATGCTACTAATTTAATACAAATTTATTGGCTGACAAAGCAATCGTATATATATTATTCGTATATATATTAAGAGTCTATCAGGCGAATGTCTTTTATGGGCTCATAACGATAAATATTAAGCTGTTTTGTTTCTGATTTCGCATCTTCATCTTGTCTCTGCAACTCTGCGCTCAAGTGTTTCCACATTGAGAACTGCGAGGCCCCCCGATTGCCCCCCAATGACCCCTCGGCTACAAATTGAGTCGGCTTATCTGGGGCGCTGCAAGCAATTGCACTGGGCAGGCACACAAATCGCGATTAAACGGAAATTTTAATTAATTCCATTCAATTGGCATGACAAGGGAAACACGGACAGGGCGGCAACAAAAGCAAAACAAACAAACAAGCGATTCGTTTGTTTTCATTTTTGTTGTTTTTGTTGTTGCAGTGAGACAATTGAGCACAGGGTTCACTATTTAGACTAAGTGCAGCATGTGGCATGCGTCTAGCAGAGAGAGAGAAAAAAAACTAAACGAATGCCAACAATTTTGATAGCCAAAGCAATTAAAACGACAGCGACGCCAACGTCGACGACGATGCCAACGCCGATGCCGATGCCAGCGCCGAAGCCAGCGCCGATGCCAGTGACGGCAGCGAAGTCACATGTACGGCAACAGCGACAGAAGCAGACGCGATTTCTGCTCTCGCCGCAGCAGCTGCTGCAGCAGCAGCGCAAGCGACGCAGCTTGTCCGAGAGCGATCTGCTCAAGGAGATCGACAACGAGCTGCAGCTAGCCAAGGGCTTTCTCTATGCCAACGGTCGGTCAAAACTGAACCCTGATCTGTATATAATACACATATACATATATGTCTATATATTCCTTGCCCTTAACATGTCCATCCAATCCGTGTGTCTGCCCTCCAAATGTCTCTAATCCAATTTGTTTGGGCAAATGAGCGCAGCTGCTTGCTAATTGGCCAAAAAAAAAAAAAAAAAAAAAAAAAAAAAAAAATGAAAGAAATATTCTCAACTGTTCTGCGCTCATTTTCCTCATTTACTCACACCTTTGCACAATTTTTGTGTATTTTTAAACTCTGTATTTTGCACCTGCCGCCGCAAAGTATGCTAGCGAATATTTGTGAAATTTGGAAAACGAAATTGTGTATACGACCTGTGCAACGCGAACTTGTTCATGGCGTGAAAATGTATCTTTATCTGCCAGCAATATTTACGTCACACTCACTCACTCTCCCTCTCTCTCTCTCTCTCTCTCTCTCTCTCGCTCGCTCAGTCTCTCTCTTCGCGCTCTTGGCGCTCCTGATTTCCTGCCTCTGTTTACGAAAGCATCAGCATTTTGTTTATGCTGTGCGCCGCAAGCGGAAAATTGGAAAATCAAATTTGTTGAGGGAACAGCTAACGTATTTGTAGAAGTAGTTGTTGTTATTGTTGTTGCTTTTGTGCTCACACAAATTGAGTTTCATTTTAGTATTTTCTGTTTTCGAAAGAAAATCCAAGCAACTTGTACAAGATTCTCGCCTGGCGTAGTCGTCGTCGTGTTTAAGTCGTGTGCGCAACGCGAAGGCGCGTGAAAAAATCAAAAACAAAATATATATATACTATTATATATAGATATACATATATATATTCGAATCGGAGGCAGCGGCAGCATTTCTATATTTCCACTTGCACACATCAGAGAAAACGAAAAGAAAAGCAAAAGCAAATATGGGGCAGGGTTAGTCGAGCGTTATTTCCATGCATTTGCTTAGCGCGCTTTTCTCCTCTCTCCAAAATTCAGTTTGTTTGCAGTGCAGTGCTCAAAGAGAGAAAAAAAGAAGAATAAAAGAAAAGTGAAGTGTTGCTTGTTGCA